CCCCCCCTGCATTCCCCCAAAGGTGTAGGGGCGATACTTGACCTGCCCCTGCCCGGCATCCACCAGGGGATATGCAGATACCAATGATTTTTCACAGTCCTCCTGCTCTTCGTCTTTTGCCAATTCCTTAATTATTTTCCTTTCCAGTCTTTCAACCACCTTAGAGATTCACTGTTCTGCATCATTGAGGCTCTTCTCCATACTTAGCGCATCAGGATCATCAGATAAATTACCTCTTTCATCAAAGCTGTCAAGTTTTCCCATTAATTCGGACACCTGTCGCTCTGATGCTTGTAAACTTTTTTCCAAGCTGATTTTGTCCTGTCTAAGCCTTTTCAGCATCTGTTGTTCCTTCAGTCTTTCCTCTTCCTCCCTTTCCAAAGGCTTAAATTCAGTGGACCGCAGTCTGCCTTGGGCGGCCGCGGAGGTCCGCGAACCAGGGGTTGAGCACCGCCACCCGTCAGCCTCATTATTATTAAAGTTGGAGTATTCCCTGTCCTTCCTATGTTCTAAAAGGATCTTCAGAAACAATATTTTCAGACAGAAATGGATTTGATGATTTTTTCTCAGTTACTATCAATTCTCCTCGATGTACATCCAGTACAGGATACAATCCTGACAAGCCTGGAGGAGCGGAAGCAACTAGTGCTTCGCTTTTCTCCTGTAAATCGTACGGAGAAGGATGTTTTCCACTTTTCAGCTGTTCAACATCCTGTCCTCCAACTACCTCTTTTTTACACATATGCTCAACACCTTGGGCAATTATTGCCCATTTCTGACACAACAAAATCTCCTTATCTAATTCTTTAATGCGCTTTTCACACTTACCTCATCTTTCTTTACAATTTTCAAGAAACTCTCGTGGCTGTTGTTTGCCGTCCCACTGATACTTGGGGACTTTAGATGCATTGGTGGCTGGGAATCGTTCCCTCAGGGCAGCTCCTAACGCAGTGGAATTATGTATGAAGGGGTCAGCATCATGTCTTCGATGGGTGTTGGCTACTCTCTCTATTTCTTTTAAATCAGCTCTAGACATACACTTTGCAGCCACTGCTCGGAAGTCCCCCATAGCCAGGGTGTGTCCAGCAGTGGCAGTGTCTAATTTATGGAGCCAGGCCATAGCTCCACCAGTCAGAGGAGGTAGCTGATTGACAATTGCCTGCAGCAGAATTCGGGGGTCCTCGACACCCCGGGGATCTCAAACCCAGTCTATACCGGTCCCAGACACGGTTACCTGCAGCTTGTCAGCATACAGTGGGCATGACCAACCGCAAGGAAATACAATATCACTTGTGACACAGGTATGGTCCCAGACACTCTACCTTCAACAATCAGGACTCGAACCCAATGTTGACCAAATTGTAAATTTCTGAGTAGTCTCTCTGTTATCGCAGTCTGAGTAAATTTGTTAAAATCAATCAGGCTTTTTCAATGGGAGCCAAACCCTTTTTCAGCCGGCTGTCTCAGACTTTGAAACCTAAAGACACTCCTTCCTCCCAATTTTCCTTTCCACTATCCCGGACGAGCCCCCAAATTGTGAAGTCCCAGACTTCTCTCGAGTCCAGATAGTGGAAAGATTTTCAGTCACACACCAAATATCATAATGCACTATTACCTTTTATTGCAGATATATCTGGAGATCATACAGCAAGCAGCAGAGCAGATGATCTGAAGTGAAATTACCAAAACTGTGTGTTATATTCTATTCCTCCCCCTCCCCTACACATTCCTACACATTCCTCCATTATGCAGCTGGAATTGATCATTACTTTCCCAAAGATAACTCCCTTGTATGGGAGCTGTATCAAGTACAACTCCCTAGACCAAAGCACATCTTGTCATTTAGGAAACACACACACTGTTAATGATTTGAGTGAACACACACTAACTTAGTGAAGGTTATATTCCTTATAAGTACTTTTATATAAAACAGAGCTGGTGCCTCAGTTTCACTTATATCCCTTATAAGTACTTTATATAAAACAGTGCTGGTGCCTCAGTTTCACTTGTATTCCTTATTAAGTACTTTATAAAAAACAGTGCTGATGCCTCAGTTATAGTGACTCAAACAACTTAATATTCCACAAAAGGCTTTGCTCCAGGTCCCCCAAACTTCCCCAACTAGGCCCCCTTTGCTAATCCATGTATGCTCTCTGCAACTTTCATTTTGTCAAAGTAGCTCAGAAACCTTGACGTTTTTACTCTGTTTTTTCTGTGGATTCATGTGTTTAACACTTAAGTTTACTGGTAGACAGATTTAGTTACGTTTGGGCAGAGCTTGGCTTGCTGTTTTCTTGTTTGGAGCTTCATTGCTAAGCTAAGCTAACTGGCTGTTGGTGGGAGCTTCATATTGTGGAGGTAAGGATGGTATCGATCTTCTCATGCACTGTAACTGCCAGAAAGTCAGTAAGTGTGTTTCCAAATGTTTAATTCTGTTCTCATTTGTTTTTCCTCCTCTGTCTATCTGATACAGGTGTTCTGTTTGTCTCATGTGTCATGTTAATATTGATTGAGGTCCTTGAGACACCAGCAGAAACCAAAGTCTTAAATAACACAATCCACACCACCCTTAGGTTCCTCTGTTCACGTTACCTCTGACTATGTGTGGCTGACAGGAGTGCAAAGTCATGCATGCAACACACTGACCTGCAGCCTCTGGAAAGCGGTGCCGTTTCCCCCACAGTTCTCGTGATTAACTTCCCACCGTGTTCACTATAGAGCACTTGACCTTTGAACCCATGCGCTTGCCACAGTGAGTTTTTATGTTTAGGGGCTGAAGCTTCTGTTAAATGCTGCATCAGTGCTTATAACTATTAGCAAGGAAATGACTAAACTGGCTGAATCACGGGCATGCAGAGCCATCATGTTTGGTAGATACCTCTGAATTCCTTCAGGGGATTTTACAAGATGTGAATCACAGGGATTTGACTTGAACATAGCAGTACAACTCAAATATCATGTGAACTTGTTAATCCACTTTTCAAAAGGAATTATTAATAGGCCAACTTAGAATAGACTCTCTAGATGCCTACACGCAGTTCTGTCTTCCAGCTGTGTTACATAAAATAATGAATTCAGCATCTAGGATGCCAGAGGGAGAGAGGGAGCAAGAGCAGGAGAGGAAAGAGAACTTATTTCCAAGCGTGACTGCTTTGTAATGAGGCCACCAGGGCAGACAGAAGAACGCAGCAGATTCAGGCTGCTTTAGTATCATGAATCTATATAATGAATGTAATATTTTACACAGATTCTAAGGACAAACCAGTCCCAAAGCTGCAGTGCTAAAGCACCCCCTACTGATGGTTCTTGGAATCCATCCATCCATTATCTATACCACTTATCCTGATTGCTGGGGGGCTGGAGCCAATCTCAGCTGACGCTCTGGACAGGTCGCCAGCCTATCACAGGGCTGGTTCTTGGAATCAGGCTTGACTAAACACAAGCTTCCTGTTTATTTGGAACACTTCAACTCAGTCATCTCAGATATTTTTAAATCTAACAGCATGTAATTCACTATTCTCTGTAAACTTGTTTTTAGTTTGCAAAGGATTTCAAACTAAATCAGCAGTTTAAAAGTAGAACATGACAGAAATAACTTTTCACAAGCAGTGATAATACTGTTCAATTAAAATATACAGAGTAAAGTACATAATTTTTCTATTAAACATGAATTCTACTGAGGTTGACGTGTGTACATGTTCAATACTGCATCTGAAGTCTCACGTCTAGCACATTTTATGCACAAAGCTCAAAGATTGCCGAATAAATGTAATTTCTTTGTACTTTTGTCAAGAGTTTTGAGACCCTGTCTGGTTGTTAAAGGCCTCCATGCGACTCTGGTGTTGCTCTACCATATGCAAGATGCTGTCACATATTCCTTTAATGTCACTGTGTGTGTCAGGATGTGCAACCAAAGTCTTCAGAAGTTCGGTCACACCTTCCTTCTCCAGCATGCTGCTGTGATGTGATGCTAAAAGGATGGAGGAGAGATGAAGTGAGTGGGGCATGATAGAGGGATGGAAACTCAACCCTAACACCAGCTGACATCATATGAGTGTCATATTTTGTGGCATATGTAAAATAATTAACAAACAAGTGATAATCTGGATCACCACAGTATTGACTGTCTTACTATTTTGACTGCAGACCAGATGAATAGCCCAGACAGCCCACAGCTGCACTCCTGAGGGCTGACAAGTCTTGAGCAGAGGGCAAAATGGACGGAATGATCTGAAAGACGGATGTCATTAAACAGGACAAAGGTGTATTTTTCAGCAATTCTGAGAATTTTTGTTTGTTTCATGCTTGAAATGCCAGACATTTGGTTATTTTGGCATTAATGCAATCTGGGCAATGTAAAATGATGCATCTCTATAGATGCTTTTTGTGATTATCTGAGTTTTCTTTGGCACCCCTGATAGTGTTCCGTGTGACAAATCCCTATCTGACCCCTCAGCAGATGACCAAATACATGAACCAGTTGTGTACAGGTAATTACAGTGGTGTTATATGTACACCCTTTGTAGTTTAGTTAATTTATTTGCACAAGTAATCAGGCAGACATAGTACTTAACTGTGTGCTTCTGTCACCTGCTCAAGTTACAGTTTATATGCATATCTGTCCAGATTCATATATGCAGTGAAGACTGTGGAAGAATTTAATAAAAGATATTACGTTCACAAGAATGGGATGAACATGAGGTCAGTCACCTTGACCTTTGACCTTTAACCACCAAATCTAATCAATTCATCCTAAA